ACCCTCTGGCATATTTCATTTGGCATCTTACAAAGCAAAACGTTTATATACAAACACAATAAACGATACGACACGACATATAAACTAATGAGCACAATTGAACCACTAACGAGGTAAATTAACTTTCCTCACAAAGTGCTACATAGCTAGAAGAATTGACATTAAAAATGGCTGTAGTTGATTAACCTGTAGTTTAAAATTCAATGGGGCACTACTAATCCAATGCTCTTGTTGAACGTAAGGCAGGATAGCGCCCGTGTGGAATGTGTCAGTAAGCACTACTTTTCAGATACTAAACATGACCAATAGATCTCTTCAGAACCTGGAAATGTGCAGAAAATGGAGGATCTGCTCAGTTGGTCGTTTTTGAAAGAATAGAAGAGCGAGTAAGCCCATACACATTTGGGACACAGATGTGACAGTTTGTAAGAAGTTACGAATAGCGGTTTGCTTGGACCCTTCAAATGAGTCCTTCACATTGGTTTCCATATTGTCACAACCGTTACCGAATTATGTTAGGGCTTGAGTGGCTTCAACGTGTTCACAATGGCTAAACAATCATCCTAAACGTGTAGGTAATACAGAAACAGAGATGCAAAACAACTTATAATTAGAAGATCGGAGCATTATAGAGAGACAACGATGAAAGTTGTGAAAAGCTCTCAGATTATGCACAATGGGACTATAAAATCTAGTATTAGGGCGCATTACATGAATCGTCTAAGTGACGATAAGTCTGGTATTTTTTGTATTGCTCAAAATGGTACTGCCAGTCAGTGATATACTCGTTCTGCCATTTGTCCATCTGTTGCTTCCAGAGCAAGAAAGGGTCTCCTACTTCAGCTAAAACAAACAGATTAACCCTTGAACGGCATTCACGTACAAAGTTTTCATAGTGGCAGCGTGATTATTCACAGAGGGGTTGCTCAAGGCCGTATTGGTTCCAAAAAACATTTTATGCTAAAAGTATATAAGTTATCCTCGCACTGGGCATAGTACAGGCCAACAATTCGGTTATGCTCCTTTCTACCGCTTTTCCTTTAAAAAGGCCTATTGCCAGCGCACTGGTAGCCTCCTCTCTCTGGCGGAGGCGGATTCAGGAGAGTATGTAAATAGCGGCGGAGCCGTTGCGCTTTTGCCCAACTTCCCGGCATGGATTCCCGGCAACGAGCTGTTCTGCATAGTTTCGACAACCCTTGTAAGTCGCGCAAGTGCTGCAGCCGCAGGCGCTCAAGTTCTTGTGCCGCAGCAGGCCAGGGAACCGACATAGTGTAGTAATTTATCACTTATTATCCTCTTCATAAAAAAAAACAAAATTCTCTTGAAATTCTG